CAGCAGGAGGATCAGTGAGGGGTTGCTGGTCAAAATTGGATGGCAGGTTCGATCACCACCACTCCAACCCAGAAATTGACTAAAAATAGAACATGAATCATGGCTGTTTTTAAACCCTGATAAATCTGATAAAAAACATGATTGAAACCCCATTCAGTTGAAAAGTACAAAGCTTAAACTCATTTGCCCTCAAAGCCACCCAATACCATAGTCCAACCAACTGTATTTTTTCCCCATATCATCCACTTCTCTGGCATTGGTTTCAAGCACCAGTACGTTCTTGCATGTCTGAGGGGTCTCTGAAGTGGCTCTCAGAATCAAAAAGGAAATATCCACGAATTGAAGTCAAATGGTAGCATTCAGTTTGCATTTCATGAGGACAGAATTATAGAGCGCAACCATAATTATTACAGAAAAAGCCATCACCCCAAGTCAAGAGTGCAAAATGAGAATACAACGTTGTTTTTTTTTTTTGGTCCTCACAAGTCTGGAGCCCCAGCAGGATCCCCAGCCCACGGGCGAGAAGGAGATAAAGCCGGCGCTCACAAACATTAGAATGTAAATAATGTGGTGGCAGCAACAAACTCACTTCAAAGCCACTCGTCATTAAGGCATCGTGATCCGAACGTGGGCGGATTCAGACAGAGAGCTGAGTAAACAAGTGCAGAGGTGGCCAACATGACTTTTTTATAAGTGAGTTTTTAGAGCACTTTTCAAGAAAGACCCAACCTCTGCGCAAATGAGCGCTGCCGTTTCGTTAAAGTGTACATATCCTGTGAAAAATGTACCTTTTTGGCCGTGATATGCTAACAATATATTTTCCTTTGCATTAATCTAATCTTTATGTGATTCATGAATGCACCACCTGTATGTGAAAGCCAGATCCTGTCACACCTCTGAAGCTAAGCAGAGCACGAGATGTGATGGGATACCTCTGGGGAGACCGAGTGCCACAGTGGGGCGGCTATAAAGTGCTAAACTGTAGGTGTGTCCTTAGGCAAGACACTTTGCGCATACTTTGTGACACATACTGGTTGCCCTAGGGCAGCTGTGGCTTCAGTATTAGCTTAAAGTATATCCACCTTGTGTGGAGTGGATAAATAACAACATGTGAAGTGTCTGTCCCCAAAAATAGCTATATAAACTAATGCATTCTTGTCATAATCTTTCTGTAATCGAGTATCCATATCTATAACAACACCTGTTTTCACTATCACTGACACAGCTACTTTTCTCTTCATTTTTTTCTAGCATATTGGATTCTGCGGCAAGTATTTCTGCATTATCAAGAAAAAGAAATTCCCTGCAATCACAATCTTCTGCTCATCCGGCAAGAAAAAAAAAACAGCTGACACTTTTTAAAACTTTGAACAGTTCCAAATTCCACTATTTAAAAATCAGATTTAACCTGAGCTAAACAGCAGACCAAATCACAATACCACATATTTAAAGGTGAATTGTATGTTTTCATATGAGTCATTTATAGTCTTTTATATCAAAATCAAGGAAAACATAACTATGCAAGCCTGATGTGTCTGCAACAACAGCTGTATAAAATAAACTTAAACTTTGTTTTGATCCAGATTGCGTACTGTGAATTGCTGCAAAAACCTGTCTCAATTAGACATTCAAGTCTTTGTGTACTGTTGACCTTTGGATTTGAAATGCCAAGGTTCTTTCATATTGTCTGATGGCATGTGTTTTGTGGGGCCACTTCCAATTCCAGGACAAGACTGAATGTCAAAAATTACATTTGGTCAGTTTGACTAAATCTGACATTTAGCTCCAAACTCATTAAAAACGTCCCCCTTGTAAACATTTCATTCAACATCATTCTGTGGCCATGACACGGAGAACAAGGACAAACCGTTTTATAGGAATCCATGTATGGTTTGCTCTTTGTTCTCTCTCTATTTGAACCAAAGTGGACATTCAAGCTGAAGTCCAAAGCCATATGAAGCTCGTGTGGGAGCTGCCGTCCGCTCTGGGAGGATTCAGTCTGCTTCGGTTTGATCTGAACTTGGCTACACATTCAAGTGCAGTTGATGCAGTTTTAGTCATTCATTCTGGGACATATCCATCGGCTTAATTCCTGTGTTCAATCTTGTTTCTTATGTTTCTTTAATTGTTTCATTTTCAATTTTGCAAAATCCTTTGAGACAACTGTTCTTGTGCTTTTGGGGTGTAGTTTTGACAGTTTTTTAAGTAAGTAAGTAAGTAATGTTTATTTATATAGCGTATTTTACAGACCAAGGTCACCCAAAGCGCTTTACAATGTTCAGAGTTCAGATAATGTTCCAATCATTCCACACACGGTGATGACAGAAGACCAGAAACATTCCACTTTTACTCATAAAGAGTTTATATATGAGTAAAAGTCTGCATTAATAACAAGAAAAATTGGTCGAATAGCAGCAAAATAATTGATTTTCTGTCTATTTGTTCTCACAACAGCCTCTTAAGTTTATACACCCAAACTATGTCAATCGTATGTACAGTATATGCATCATCATCATTTTTTTTACATATGAATTTTATATTTGGTAAGGACATTTTAGTCCTCCCAAAATATTGGTGGGGACAAACCTACGCCTTTGTAGAATTGAATTAGATTTTGTTTTCATCCTGCCTCTTTAGTCATAGCTTTGGCTGTTATTAACTATAGCTCCCACTGCAAGGCCACAAGAAGTTGGTGTCTATTCCAGTTAAATACCCCATTTCATTCTACTCCTAATACTTACATACAGGCTTAATCACTTTGTCAAAGTACAACTCATACTGAGGCTGACCTAACGATGACTTTACAACACATTGCAATAATGGCCAAAATTTCTTCAGTATGTCTTATTTAAACATAAATCCCTGTAGAGCGGTGCCCGGTGTTTACCTGTCAGCTTCCTCTTCCTCAGACCGTCCCCTCCCTGTATCTGACAGCCATGATGGATGTAGCCTATGCCGCAGACAGAGAAGGGAATAGACTCTTCTCTCGATGCGTTTCACAGCAATCTGCAGCTGTCAATAGGCGCGCGCATTCACAAGGCACTGGATGTCTTTATCAAACAAGCTGCCTCTTAATGCATCAAAAGAGTGAGGAGACAGAAACACGGGGATGGAACGCGGCAAAACACGAGTGACTCTGCTTTCCCCCAACGAGAATGCATGTGCAGAAGAACACGTGTTCCCTAAATCACAAGGCGAGTGGAGTATTCTGCTTTAAAACGCAGGCTTAAACGTCTGTTACAGCCATTATGCACAACCGGAGCAAGCAGATGGGTGTTGTCAATATGAGCAGAAAATGTTGCGAAGAAGCAGTCTGCTCTGAGTCTGGAAATATAAATGTAAAACTGGGGTAACTTTGGAACTATGTAACACAATCCATGTTACTCGTTTCTTAGCTCTCAAAACAGCTTGGTTTTATTTTTCATTGTCACAGCTTTAGATCAAATTTTACAGACAAATAAGTGGCTGAGAGTGGGTGCTCCTGTCTTTTTCAAGCTACCTCTTACTGCATCAAGCTCTCAGCCCCTATTGTTTTATATTTATGCTATGTACTTTTAAAAAGATGGCATCAGCAAGTTGTGGTCTAATGAGTTTACTTTTTTACGTTTAACTTTTACAAGACTCTTTCAATTGGGACAAATCACATGTACAGTATTTGTGTGAGGGGGGGGAAGTTAGGATTACTGGATACTAGAACTGCTCCCACTCAAGTTTTACACCTGATATGTATATAGTTCACAAAACTAATCATATAGAAATAAACCACACGTATAAACAGAAAAAGGCACATATAAAAAATGTCCACGGTCTGAGTATTCACACTTCCCAAGATAAAAGCAGTCAAATTGACTGCTCTGGGATTTCTAGTGTTAAGAGTTTGATGCAAAACAAGGGCTAACTAGCTTTGTGGTAACTACTACCCACACCTGTTAATTTCAGCCAAACAGCATAATGCAAAACAATATTAAACTTTCAATGTTACGAAAACCAGGTAGTGCACAGAACAATGAAAAACTTGACCTCCCGCGTGAGCTAACCCTGGACCTGTGTCCTTACAGGTCTAAACCAGGACTAAATCTGTTTGGGACCCACCTACATTGACTTGACGGAGCAGCGGCTGTGATTAATGGAAGCACAGATTGTTTATGTTGCTCCGAGGGATAGAGAATAATTCCTCGGCTCTTTGGTTCCATAAATTTGCCGGTGTCGGTGTCGTCTCCGTCAGATGCGGTGTCACACATGATGAGACGCATTAGTGCAAATGTTTCCAACACGAAGAAACACATTTGTCTTCTCACTCAAACACTCGGGGAGTCCTTCTGTTCAAAACATGTCGTAAAAACATTTCTGCTCTTGAGTGAGGGAATCAACGAGGTTTATCCCTACATCCTTTAACAAATATTGATTATTCTCAAAAATGTTACAGCTGACATTACTTGATCACTTATAATAACAATGATTGTTTAGTTACCCTTTAGGAGTAAAACTATTCCTACTTAAGCTTCTGAATCAAAGACACTATTTATACAGCGACATGGCTTCCCACAATTGTGCTATTGTTAGAATTGTTTGACTTTACAATCTTGAACTGTATTTTAATATTTATGTTTATGGTGGCACAGATGAAAAGTAGCCTGGTGCTAAAACTGGCACAGACATACGTTTATTGTAACTGCACATTGTTTTTAAATAAACTAAACTTGAATCGAATTAGGAACACCTTAAAATGTATCATTGTATGTATTGACAATGTATTGACAATAGTTTAGATGATCCACCCAAAAGAAGAAAATCCTCCAATATACCTTTATGGCTTTGTGTCTTCCAACTTGTCACAACGTCATTAATAGGGAAAATCCAAATATTAGTGTCTCACCAGAAAAATAAACTGTACATTTCAGCACAGAAAACAGTTAAGAGCACATACTTAGTTCTTGCCACCTCCACCTGCCTCCCCTCCATCATCTGTGTGACTGCGCTCTCTGTGAACAGCCCTGTCAATGCTGGGGCCGTGTCAGCGCCCAAACCACGGCCATCAAAGTGATGGACTGCCCCCACAATGCACTGCTCTCGTCTTCTGCTTCCTGGAACCGGTGCAAATGTTTGCCAACAGCTGCCAGGTAATGCGCGGCTGCATAAAACATGGGCCGTTTGTGTAGGATACAACGAGATGGCTTCCGCTGGTGGTGCCAAGGAGCCCCGGCCATAGGAGGAGTGCGCCATGTGCTCACAACACGGTCAAAGAAGATGGAGTCATTTCAGACCGAAAGGGTCAAATGACTATTGGTTACTTTCCTAATTATGGAGAGACAATATGCATGTTTAACACTAGGACTCCTAGAATTATGAAATTACTGGATCTCCCAGAGCCATCATTTTGGCTGCTCCCATTCAAACCAATCGACTTCTGAGAAAGATTAAAAGTCTTCCTTGAAAAAAATATGGGTGTGCAATGAGGTGAATCCTCCACATATCAAGGATTCATAAAATAAAATTGCAAAAGAAAGTAAGTTAAACCTGGGGGAAGGGGCTTGGGGACTGAGGAAAGAGACTTGATGGCATGCTCGAACATGCATGAATCACGCTAATAACAGCTTTGAGAGCTTAAATGACAAGAGAAAACAACAATAATTTTCAATGATTTTTTTTCATAAATGGAGATGATTGAGAAGTCAGACCCTGACATTTAAGAGGGCCATTAAGTGGTGAATACAACCGTTTTAGCCGTAGATCAGGCAACATCTCTTCTGTGGGTAATGTTGTACTTCTGAAGAGGTGGCTGAAGATGCTGCTGTGAACAAAGGATTTTCCAAGGACGTCACATGAGGCGCTCTGCTAATGTCCTCGCTCTTCAAACGAGCTGCTTCAGCCGCACTTGTCTCTATGTTTCAATTTCACGTCCTCTTCAAGTCAATTGCATTAGCTGCAAACAGTGCATTCTCTACCTTCTTCCTCCTTCTCAATACCCCTCGAGCCAAATCTTCCCTACTAAAGAAAAACACAGTGACTGCGTAAAGTGAGTTGTGACAAAAATTGCTCTAATACCCGCTCAATGTGATGTAGTTCCATGTCTCTGCTCGTTTTTCAGACAATCTTAATATAACTTTGGAAGGATTTCAAAAGTGAAACAAAGGGAAGTATCGTGACTGCAGTGAACTGAAGAGATACTGTGTTTTTATTTTGTTTTACAGAGAGAATCTCACACATGTCCGTGTTCCTGCTGTGCAGTTACTGAAATTGTTTTTGTTTTACTTTGTAATGTGACAAAATACTTGTTATTTTCAGCAGTGTATAATTTCCAAACACATGTTCACTGAAACCAGGGAAATGACTGTATTCACAAATGTACCTGCACTTAATCATGTATATCTGATGATCACAACATCAAAACTTTAAAGTCTGTTTTCACAGCACAGATACATCAAGTTTCCCTTGTATGAAAACATGTTTTCACTGGTGTGTGTGCGTTTCTATGGGATGATTATAGTATATGGTCCGAATATTAGTGGATTATAGGTCAAGTAGCAGTTTTTTGTAATCTAACCATTGACCTAACAGTGCCTTCTGTTTACCACGTTTGGGGACCAACACTATTCCAGACGTTTGGTTGCTAGTTTGTTGCTATGCACAAATTTGAATCCAGATTCCCACCCAGGCATCAGTCCACTCCTTCAACAGATTGTCTACAGCTAAAAGCAAGCTACAATCTTTCAATATTAAAAACAACATATGTATCAGCTTCTTTTTTGTTAAAACCTTGAAAGTTATGAAAGTTATTTCATATGTTTATATTTTGTGTCTTAGCTGTTGATTCTCTGATCTGTGTTGGTGATTTCAATGGTTTTGTTAAGTCCTCTAATATGACTTCTGTCGTGATTTAGTGCTATACAAGACTAAGTTGTTGTTGTTGTTAATTAAGCCATTTTAGATTACGTGTTTCAAAAGATACAAATAAAGGTATGTTATACTTTAATACAAAACATCAAAAAATCACAGAGAAATACCTTGCCATGTGTGTCCTTTGAAGTCCACATCTCAAACAATGCGACATCACCCCCCAACCCCCATATAACAACCCCTTGTGAACCCGCAATGCTCGAGATGTGAAATTGAAAAGCCAGTCAGCTGTTTAAATATCCCATCCTTTGTCTAATGAAAACAATCCTTCAGTGTTAAATCCGAATGGGCCGGATTGCATTTAAAACCACATAAACCATGGGAGCTTGACAAATGAGCCCAGTGATAGTTAGCAAGGAGGACAAAAAGAGCCATTCAATTTTGTCCTTTTGCTACCATGACAAAGAAATACGAGGACATTTTTCTCTCGTTCACCCTTGATTCTCAAAATGCCAAATTGCCACCGGGTGCAGACGTTTATATCGTGTCCAACGTGACCCAAGTGCAATTGGTTTAACTACAAATTGAAAAGACCCATGGTGCAGAGGAATTTCATCTTTGGGCTTATAAAAAGTCTGCTTTTGGTGTATAGGACTTATAAAAAATGCATAGCACAAGATGAAAACGTATTTACAACAAGAGTTTTGTGAGAAGAAGGTGGAAAAGTGAATATTACATTTAAAGGGATATATGAGAAATGACGCTCCAAGTATGGTAATAATTACGATTGAATACTGTGGCCTCAAGACAGATTTTTTTTCAAGTATTTCACCAAGTTACAACATTGTTCTCTCAACTTGTAGTCTGTAATGGATACTTACACTATTACTTTATGTTCAGAATACGTTTTAGGTTTGGCAATTTGTTTTTTTTTTCTTTTGTAAGAAAGTGAGTTATACAACTGCTATTTATGTTTGGAATAAAACAAAAAAGTACCTCCCTCTGGTGGTAGAAGCGGGTAATTGCATTCTGAGACCGTTTTGATCTTTAATACATGTTTATTCATGTACTTTTATATTCAGGAGATTATTTAATATCTAAAACATGAAATGCCAGGTTCTTTATTCTTAGATTCAGCATGGGGGTACAGTGTGCAACCACGGACTGTATATTGTGAGTGCCGACTTCAGCCATTGTATTCGCAGAATGCAGAAGTATAGCCTAATTTAACATAGGCTAGCTGGAGACAATTCGCGAGTTGGTGCAAAACTTTGTCCATGAGAACTTCCCAATGGGTCTCATTAGACTAGTGGATTAGCATTGTCCATTATTTACAGTCTATGTGTGCATCTAATTATAAAGCTTTTTTCTTTTTTTAAATGAAGGTAAGATACGATACAACACTTCTTTATTGTCTCCCTTAGAAGAAAGTCATCTTGGGACAGGGGTTCACATGCTTTACAGTAAACGTTGAGCAATAAAAAGATCAAAATAGACATAGGCATTGCAAGAGACCCATCAGTTATACATAGGGCAATAGAATACAGTAAATATTAGAACATCAACTGAGACCATCCCACATACATTCCATACTTGCACTGCAGAAAATCTAAAGTGAAGTGTGCAGTATTTTGTTTTAACTATTCTGACTTGTCGAAGAGTCTGCAGAGGATGAGAGCCACTCTGCCTGAGCGTTCTCACAGTGAAGCCTCCAGCTCTGTGCCACACGACAGCCCTCAGAGATCGGCCGTGCAAACAGCATCACTCCAGTGTATCGATTGTGTTACCCCGAAGATCCTCTATGATACGACCTCTCACTCCGCACGCAGCAAGTCTCATGAAGCACATCACCAGCAGACACGGACCCTGCACCTGATCAATGCTGTGTCTGGATTATAGCTCCAAAGGTGGGTGAACTTTTTTCCTCCACTGTTTGGTCTTGTATTTATTTTCTTGTTTGTTAGAGCAAGTGAATAGTTTATTTGTAAAAACAGATAAGTTCAATGAAAATATATTGGAAAAGCCTACAGTTTTATCTTTACCAAGTAGTTTTGTGAAAAGCCGTGCCATAGAGATAAAGTTTCACCCCTTCTTGCGTTAATTCCTTCGAGTCTACTGCCATTAACAGAAGATTGTAACTAGAGGAATACAATATTTGGACAAAATTTCAAGTGTATTTCTAGAAAAACAAACTATTTGATTTCGTATAGTTTCCATCTCTCTATTTTCTTCCCCTTGATTCATTTCTCAGTCGGGAGAGTGGCAGTCAGAGCTGCACCCAATACACAGAGCACCAGCCCCTCACTGATCCTCCTGCAGGTGGTGAGTCCACAGGAGCCCTGTTTATTCAGCAGGCGCTTCAGGCAAAGTAGGGTTAAGTGTCTTGCCCAAGGACACAACAACAGCAGTCATCAGAGGGAGTCGTGAAGTAGGTCTTGTGATGGGCTCGAACCCACGACATTCAGGCTCTAAGGCCAATGCTCTACCAACTGAGCCACTGTCAATCATACATTGATCCTTATTCTTAATCTTTACCTGGGGCTTGGTCGCTGAGGTCGCAGAGATACCAAGACTTGCTCCAACTTAGAAGAACTTCTAATGCAAACCGAGAAACACTCTTTCAAAAGGAACTCTACATTCAAAACTTCTTCTGTGTTGAAGAAAATACAGTGGCCTCAGTCTCCATTATCAACCCTAACCCTAAAGAAAATGTTGGAATATTTCAGCTCTGAATAAAATGTTAGGAATGCTACATGCTAGGATTCTCAGTATTCTATGTGTCCTTTCCATTAAGCAGGCAGGGCACCACACCCGTGCAACAGCGCCCCCTGCCCTGTCAACCAAATTGTGCAGGACTAAACACAGCTATTGTGTCTTTAGTGAATCCAATCCACTCCTCCGTATGAAACTACGGTATTGTAAGAAATCCAGCCTTAGTATTTCACACTGGGTTATGCTCTGGCTCTTGTAAGCGCAATGAGAGAGGTGAAAGTTGGTATTTCTGTATAAAAAGAGCTTTGTTAATAAAATGTGATTGATTGATTGATTCAAGGTAAGTTTAGTTACATTTTCAGGTGGTAATAAAATGCAGATGTAATACAATGCATGTTGTCACTTACGAGCTGCTCTTTGACACCTTGTAAGTGACAACATGCAGATTAGATAAAGATGTTAATATTTTCATCTACAGTTGTGAATGAGACGCCTTAAAGCAGTGGGTGAACTAATGCAAAGTGCTATTTATTGCACCACTGTCACAGTTAACACATAATTTTAGCGACTTGGTCACAACAGTAAATACAAGGCCAGAATCTCTAAGCTCAGCTGTGTTTCCTCCCCGTGGTCTCCTTCTTTAGGGGGACACTGGAACTACAGAGCTTCTTAAGTCTGTAAGTTACAAAAACGTCTCTGCACTCTTCACCCACACAGTTATTTTCTCGATCTGCGAAACATCAATGATTAGACAGCAGCGTTTTGGCACAATATTAAAGGATAACCAGTGTTCATTCTGCTGCAACGTTAGAGCTTTGTTGTGACTCAAATCAATACAGATATTTTAAATACAACCCATACAGACATATTTATTCAACAGATTGATTTTGATTCTATTATATAACTCATACTTGCCCGCAGAGAGAGCACATCACATCTACAAACCAAATTTAGGCTCAATCTTTACAATTGTTTTTGTGCATTCCAACCACACACACGCACACACTCGCGATCACACACACACACATATGCACACAAATACAATACCCTCCTAATAATGAACTAAAATTACATTAAAAATACTCCATATATCTTCTTTAATAAGGACTTGTATTGTTTTAATCGCGGCATACTTTTTCTTTGTTTTTGTCCTAAAGAAAGTCCCCCAAGCAAAGTAGTTTCCACAAGATGAGCAGAAATAATGCAGCAGTGCTTACTAATGAATCTGGCGCGTTCGACTACATTAATTATGATAATGGATGCTGTTGAGATGCTTGTTTAAGGCTGTTTTCCTGTTTCCTTATGAAATTTGTATGCGTTGCGTATGAAGCCGGCTCTGGAGACGAGTGGAGTGGGAGCTGCAGCAGTTAAAGAACAATGTGGAACATGAGGAGAGTAACAACAAGATTAATTCATGAATAAGATTTCACAAACAGGATCTTGAATCTCTCATGGTGTGGACTTTTTGAACGGCTTAATTTTGATGTGTTTGCTGTTTTTTGAGTTTACTGTCTGTTCTATTGATTTATATTGATCTGTGTGTGTTTAAAGAGTGCTGCTCTACTCTTGTCGTTGGTTTTTAAAATCTTGTATTTTTGGCAGTGTTGCATTGGAGTTCATCTTTTTTCTGCATTAATTACAGAATCTTTACATTGTGATTATTTTATTTACAAAGCAAATGTTTCTCACACATCATCTGTACTTCTTAGCAGGTTTTCCCGACGTTTTGTCCATTTTACTAGTAAACTAGTAAAACAATCTTATGACAAACTAGATTCAAGCAAAAATATCTTTAAAAAAAATAAACATGTAATTTTATTAAATAAGTCTTTTTGTAAATAAGTCTTACCAAGACCACACCCATAGGTTATAAATACTCAACGCGCGGTCTGACGAAACGTCGGGAAAACCTGCTAAGAAGTACAGATGAGAAACCGGAGATCCGAATTTCAATTTCTAATAAGGAGGTCAACAGATAAGTTTATTATATTGAAGCTGGGGTGCCTAACATTCAAACCACTTAAAAAAAAAAATATTCAACAAAACCATCAAACTAACATTATTACTAGTTTCTACAAGGATGTATTTCTGGCCTTTGTGATTGCTGTTGTCAGAAAAGACTCTTAGCTTTCAGCCTAAATAGTGAATGAGATGGCTCAAAGTACACGCAAACCTAAATCCAAAGTGAGGTCCATCAGCTTTGAGTAGTTTAAATTAATATTGGGATTAAAAATATTCTTATTGATCCAAAGGCATGGGTTATAACTAAGAGAAAGCATAATGTCAAACTCTTGCATTCTTTAAACTCTAACGGAGTAAATACAAAATATTATTGAACATGAATACATCTAATGTAGCACAGTCAATATTGATGAAATAAAACATTTAAGAGAAACCATAAAACAATACTTCCACGATTCATGAGATTCAAAAGTGTACAGTGTACAACAATAACCTACATTATGTCATAGATACAAAGCCTGTGACATAACCTGTATAGTAAGTAATGTTTATTTAAATAGCACATTTTACAGACCAAGGTGCTTGACAAGGTTAAAAGTTCAGATGTTTTTCCGTTCACTCCAGACACAGGGATGACGGAAGTGCCCAAACCAACACCATCCATTCACTCAATCGTTACATTCATACCTATTCTACATGTTTTTAGTGCTAGGGGAAACTGGAGCACCCAGAGGAAACCTACGCAGACAAGGGGAGAACATGCAAACTTCACACAGAAAGGCCAGGAGGTAGGATAAAAACTAGGGCCTTCTTGCTGTCTATAGACCAAATCCATGCAACCTCCAAGTCCATCTCACTTAATTAAAAAAAATATGAAGGGATATTTACCGATTGAACAGCACTGTCATATCTGCACCCTTGCTGACGCTGGGCCCTCATACACAACACGGCCCCGCTCCTCTCTTTGATATTCCAATCCATAATGTATGACACTGCCTCCACAGAGATCAGCACTTTTGGCTTTATTTTATCTCGTCGTCTACTTTGGACAGTGTCAGGTAATATCAGAGTTTAGGCTAATTTTCCCCCGGTGCGGAGATTACGCGGCCCGCTGCATATGTGGAGTCCAATTTAATTATCAGAGCAACCGGGAAAAGATTGGGCCGTGTGCCGTTTGATGTCTCCCAACCACTTAAAGTCACTGCTTCAAAGCACCTTTTGTCACCTCGCAGCTATTCCACGCGAACAGAATCTCAATCTCGGTCACAAGATTTTTCTGCGCAGCCAATGGGGAAGGAAGGAGTGGTAAATGCGTGGATTGGATTTGATAAATGGAGGCAGAAAGTATGTCTCCAATTGGATTATGTTCAAATTTTTGGAGATGTTTCTGTCTTTAAACGTAACCCTAAGAATCTGTTGTATCCTACACAACATCAACATTTTAGAACACATCGTTCTTAAGTTGTGCGTCGGATGAGGGGTAACATAATAATAACAATACAAATAATGCATCGGATTTATATAGCGCTTTTCTGGACATTTAAAGATGCTTCACATGCCATTATTCATTCATGCCATATCCAGTGGTGATAAAAAACTACTGTAGCCACAGCTGCCCTGGGGCACACTGACAGAAGCGAGGGAACCAGTATGTGTCATCAGCCCCTCCGACCACCACCAACCATTCACACACACACTAGACTCATTCTCAGCAATGTGGGTGAAGTGTCTTTCCTAAGGACAACAACAACAGTTTGACACTTTACAGCCGCAGCCGCCCCACTGTGGCAACTGGTGTTCTCAGAGGTCTCCCATCACACTACTAACCAAGCCCTGCCCTGCACAGCTTCAGAGATGTCTGACAGGATCTGGCTTTTGCATTCAAGTATGGCCACTGACGCTAACATGGAGGCTCCCTAGCTTCCAAATGACATCAAAAAGAGGCTACAAAACATTTAAATTATAAATTAGGTTAATGGAATACACACAATTTAGTTTGCAGATACTAGTGGCATGTTTCGTGTTCAGTAAATCCTCTATGTCTAGACGTGTGGGATCAGCCTTAATATAAACATACCTGGAGTTCTTATGTATTTTTTTGCACAAACGTATCCCCTCGCAGATCGCTGTTACTGGCTCTAATAGTCGTACAGAGCCTTTTCAAAACAAATGTATTATGTGTTATTACCACTGTGGGTGCTTACATCACACATTCAAACACACTT